CTTTCCCTCGAAAGTCAGGGCCCTTCCCCTGGTTTCTCACCCAGCAGCTGTGTGCAGCAGCAGCACATTGTCCAGGAAGACTGCCCAGCCTCCGGGGCATTTATCTGCGGGGGTGGGGCCACAGGGCTGGACCCCAGAGGTGCCTTCCGGAGCTGCCTTCTACCTCTGCTTAGAAACGACCTCCCTGCCACAGGCGGGGTGGAGGTGCCACCTGCTGCCGGCAGGCACGTCCTCTCTCCTCGAAATAATGTTTATTCTTCTGATCACAAAAGTAACAATTGATCACAGAGGACACTTTGGAAAATAATAATTTATCTATAGTCCTACTATTCAAATAAATGTAAGACTAATGCTTTGCCTTGAATATATTTCCCACTCTCATTTGATATCTCTAATTTTTAAAATGTTACCTTTCTCATTTAATATTTTAGCATTTCCAGCATCATTAGCTATCCTTCTACAAAGCAGAAATTGTATGGATGTGACTCGAATTTATTGAGTCAACCTACTGTTGATGGACATTTAGCTTATGAGCTATTTCTTGAATATGAGTTTGCTAGATGATTACAAGAAAAACATTGTTTTATTGTTTTTTCAAGTGTACAATTCAGTGGCTTTTAGTATATTCACAGAGTTGGCAACTGTCACCACTATCTAATTCCAGAGCATTTTCATCATCCCATAAAGAAACCCTGTACCTGTTGCAGTCACTCCCCGTTCTCAGTTCCCTTCAGCCGCTGGCAACCACTAATCTTTTTTCTATCTCTGTTGATTTGACTATTCTAGACATTTCCAGTAAGTGGGATCACACACTATGTGGCCTTTTGTGACTGGCTTCTTTCACTTAGCCTAATGTTTTCACAGTGTATCCACGTTGTAGCATCTATCAGTACTTCCTTCCTTTGTGTGGCTGAAAATTAATTCCATTGTGTGGATAGACCACCTTTTGTTTATGAATTTGTCAGTTGATGGACATTTGGGTTGTTTCCACGTTTTGGCTACTATGAATAATGCTGCTATGAACAGTCATGTACAAATTTTTGTGCGAGTATGTTTTCATTTCTCTTGGATATATACGTGGGAGTGGAATTGCTGGGTCGTACTGTGTGAGGAACTGCTCAACTGTTTTCTGAAGTGGGCGGCACCACATTAGTTTCTCACCAGGAATGGACAAGGGTTCCAATTTCTCCATATCCTCACCAACACTTGTTATTTTCTGTTTTTTTTTTAATTATCATTATAGTCATCCTAATGAGTATAAAATGGTATCACATTGTCATTTTGATTTGCATTTCCCAAATGACCAATGATGTTGAACATTTTCATGTGTTTATTGGCCATTTGTATATCTTCTTTGGAGAAATGTTTATTCAGATCCATGGCCTATTCTTTAGTTGGATTATTTATCTTTTTATTGTTGAGTTGTAAGTGTTCTTTCTATATTCTGGATAGGTCACCCTTAGATACATGATTTGCGAAATTTTTCTCTCATTCTGTGTGTTGTTTATTCACTTTCTTGATGGCATGCATTGAAGCATAGAAGTTTTTTTTTTTTTTAAATCACTCTCATTTTATTTTTTCATTTGTTTTTTTTTGTGTGTGTGTGAGGAAGATCAGCCCTGTGCTAACATCTGCCAATCCTCCTCCTTTTTTTTTTTTGCTGAGGAAGACAGGCCCTGGGCTAACATCCGTGCCCATCTTCCTCCACTTTATATGGGATGCCGCCACAGCATGGCTTGCCAAGTGGTGCTTTGGTGCGCGCCTGGGATCCAAACCGGAGAACCCCGGGCCGCCGCAGCAGAGTGCGCGCACTTAACCACTTGCGCCACCGGGCCTGCCCCTGAAGCATAGAAGTTTTTAATTTTGGTGAAGTCCAGTTATCAGTTCTGTCTTTGGTTGCTGTAACTTTTGGTGTCATATCTGAGAAACTGTTGCCTAATCCAAGGCCACAAAGATTTACTCCTATGTTTTCTTTGGAGAATTTTAGAGTTTTAGCTCTTACATTTAGGTCTGTGATCTACTCTGAGTTAATTTTTGTGTATGGTGTAAGGTAAGGGTCCATCTTCATTCTTTTGCATGTGGAAATCCAGTTTTCCCAGCACTATTTGTTGAAAAGACTATTCAGTCCTTATTGAATGGTCTTGGTACCCTTGTTGAAAATCAGTTGCCCATGACTGTATGGGTTTATTTCTGGACTCGCAATTCTATTCTATCATCATGTCTGTCCTATGCCAGTGCCACACAGTCTTGATTCCTGTAGTTTCATATTAAATTTCAGATCACGTGTGTGAGTCATCCCACTTTTTTTCTTTTTAAAGATTGCTTTAACTATTCTGGGTCCCTTGAATTTCCATTTGAATTTTAGGATCAGCTTGTCAATTTCTGCATGGAAAAAAAAGGCAACTGATATTTTGATATGGATTGCATTGAACTTGTAGACCAACTTGAGGAGTATTGCCATCTTAACAGTATGAAGTCTTCTAATCCATGAACCCAGGATGTCTTCCATTTTTTTAGCTCTTTAATTTCTTTCATTGATGTTTTGTAGGTTTCAGTGTATAACTCTTACATTTCTTTTGTTAAATTTATCCCAAGTATTTTAATCTTTTTGGTGCTATTGTAAATGGGATTGTCTCAATTTCATTTTTAGTTACTTCATTGCTACATCTAAATATAATTCATTTTCTAAAATAACAGCTTTATTGATATATAGTATATATACCATAAAGTTCACCCTTTCAAAGTGTACAATTCAGTAGTTTTTAGCATGTATTCACTCAAACTTTGGTATCAAATGCCAAGCCAATCCAGCCCTCTTTGCCATACAGACCTCCTCAGTTCCTTTTCTTCTGCTCTCCCCTTGCCCTAAATCATTTTTCACTTTTTTATTTTGGTAAAGTCTATATAAGTGAAATTTACTATTTTAACCATTTTAAAGTGTACAATTCAGTGGCTTTATGTATATTCACAATGTCATTTTCAGAACTTTTTCCAGAACATTTCCAGAATATCTATTTCCAGAACTTTTTCATCTTCCCAAGCTAAAACTCTCCCCATTTAACACTAACTGCCCATTTCCCCTTCCCCCAGCCCCTGACAGCCACCATCCTACTTTCTGTCTCTATGGATTTGCCAACTCTTAAGTACCTCATGTAAGTGGAATCATATGGTGTTTGTCCTTTTGTGTCTGGCTTATTTCACTCAACAGAATGTCCTCAGGGTTCATCCATATTGTGGCATGTGTCAGAATTTTGTTCCTTTTTAAGGCTGAATAATATTCCGTTGTATATATATACCACATTTTATTTATCCACTCATCTGTTAATGGACATTTGGGTTGCTTCCATCTTTTGACTATCACGAATAATGCTTCTTTGAACATTTGTGCACAAGTATTTGTCTGAGTCCCTGCTTTCAAATCTTTGGGGTGAGGCTGACCACTGAGACTGTGGGTATTGAATGGAAGTTGACACCCTGGACAGTGAAGTCCCCACCCCCTTTCCTTAGCGCCCGGGGTGGGAGGCAGCCAGGCCCATACCCTCAGGCTGAGAGTGGGGCCTTCGTCTCTGGAAACCCAGCAGCCCAGGAAGGAGACCTGTAGATCATCAATCAGTAGGGTCCCAGGAGAGCAGCAAGTCCCATCAGCTGGCACGCCCAGCCCCAGCCCCAGCCTCCCATCACTCCTCCATGTTCCAATGAAATATTAAATACTCATAAACGAATATTCATTACATCAGAGTTTGCCAATTAAACGCACATTCTTGGAGCCGGGCCAGTGGCGCAGCAGTTAAGTGCGCGCACTCTGCTGTGGCGGCCAGGAGTTCGCAGGTTCGGATCCTGGGTGCGCACCGACGCACCCCTTGCTAAGCCATGCTGTGGCAGCGTCCCATATACAGTAGAGGGGGATGGGCACGGATGTTAGCCCAGGGCCAATCTTCCTCAAGAAAAAGGGAGGATTGCCATCGGATGTTAGCTCAGGGCTAGTCCTCCTCACACACCCACACACAAAAACGCACATTCTTGCACCCCGCTACACACACACACACACACACACACACACATTCAACTGAAGAAAGGGACCCCGTGACTCTGGGCCTCTTCTAGCCCAGCCTCCTTCTGCACTGGGCTGAGGTGATGCCACTGGGATGTGAGGAGGGAAGTGCATGGTGGTGGAGAAGGAGTGTGTCTTAGTAACAAAGTTCCACACAGTGGGGGCTTATAACAACAGAAATTTATTCTCTCACAGTCTGGAAACCAGAAGTCTGAAATCCAGCAGGGCCACACTCCCTCTGGAGGCTCTACGAGAGGGTTCTCCCTGCCTCTTCCAGGTTCTGGTGGCTCCTGGCATCCCTTGGCTTGTGGCTGCTTCACTCCCATCTCTGCATCCATGGTCACTTAGCCTTTCCTCTCCCCTGTGTGTTTGTGTCTCCTCTCCATCTCTTATGAGGACATTTGTCATTGGATTAGGGCCACCGGACAATCCAAGATGATCTTCTCCTCTTAAGATCCTTAACTTGATTATAGCTGCAAAGACTCTTTGTAAGGTCACATTTGCAGGTTCCAGGGGTTAGGATGTGGACACATCTTTTGGGGGCCACCATTCCGCCCACCGCAGAGGGTGTACGTAGATGAGTTGGATCTTCCACAGGAGGAAGTCAGTAGATGGTGTTAAACCAGGGAGGCAAGAAGGGGCAGCCTGAGCTTGGGACTCTACACCAGGAGAGAGGGAGGACTTGGGAGTGGTTGCTTCAGGGCAGCCGAGGTCAAAGGTGGCAGACAGGGTAGGAGCTGGGTCAGAAGCCCTGCTGTGCCAGCTGGCTCTTTAGGTGGCGGCATGACTTGATAACATTCTAAAGTTAGGTTACAGGAAAGTTGTGCATCTGGGCAGCTCAGCTCCATAGAGGGCACAGAGACTCTTGTCTTCACTCTCTGGCTTTCAGCCTCCAGAGGCCCTTGCCGTGCCCCCACCCCAAACAGCCTGCATTTCCTTCTCTGTGCAGCTGCTCCACCGCCGATCCCAGCTCTTCAGACAAGACCAGGCCGGAGGCAGTCCCTGTGGCCACAAGAGAGAAGATCCGGTCCAAGTTCCATGGCAGCCACGACCTGATCCACCGCCTGTTTGTCTGCATTTCAGGTGCACGTCTGGGCCTGGGGGGCCAGGGGGGTGCGTGGGCTTGCAGACACAAGGGCTGTGCTTTAGGCGACCAGCCACTGCCGAGTCAGGGCAGCGCCCTGCTGATGTCTGGGTGTGGGTGGTGCTAGCTGATGTCTGGTGGTGGTGGGCTGCTGGTGGTGCCAGGTCTTGTCTGGGGGCTTCCCCACTGTGTCATTTCATCGTCCCAAGCCCTGCGCTGAGGCCATGCACACAGTATAGAGGAGGGCTCACTTCTTCCCCAGGGCGCAGCTGCGAGTGGAGGATCCCATTCCTGCTCCCATCGGCCCCTCAGCTGCCCACATAGGGAGGTTCTTTCTGTTCAATTTGTGGTTCAGATTTTATCGCACTTTTGTTTCTTTTCTCCTCTGGGGATGGTTGTACAGCAGGAAGGTGAAGGGGAAGATGACTGTTCTGTCTCCAGGAAATTCAGAGAGGGGAGTGTGCAAAAAAGTGTCTTTTTAACGTTTTCCTTTAAATAACAAACGTATTCATGTGGTTCAAAAGTATAAAAAGTGTGCAGTGAGGTCTCCCCTCTCTGGCATCCTGCTGCCCTTCCCTCCCCCACCTGTGGTGAGGGGTCCAGACAGTGCTGTCCTGCAGGAATTGTCTCCCAGGGGCTGGGCAGCCTCTTGCCCTGACCGACCTGCAGGCGCGTTGGTCTCGGGCCGTGAGCTCCGGGCAGGTTTCACCAGCTAGCAGCACTGAGCCCCCAGTGCTGGTCAGCCTGACCCCCTCGTCCTCCTCCCCAGGTGTGGCTGACCAGCTGCAGACGAACTACGCCAGCGACCTGAGAAGCATTCTCAAGACCCTCTTTGAGGTCATGGCCACCAAGCCAGAAACGGATGACAAGGAAAAGTTAAAGAAGGGTGAGTGCCAGCTTGGGACAGGGACTGTCGTGTCACCGCCCCCAGGAAGTGGGCCCTGCAGAGACCCGCACTCCTAGCCCTGGGCAGATAAGGCCCCTCCACAGCCACCCAGCTCCTACATGACCTGCCCCGTTCCAAATGGAAACTACCCAGCAGTGCCAGGCTGTCTGCTGGGGGACCGAGGGGCACACGTCACAGGTCCTGGAAGTGCCCTGAGAGGCCACGTGCCCTGAGAAGTGGCACCACCCCCTGCAGCTTTGCAGGTGGGTCACAACCCCCCACACACAGGCCCATGTATGTAGCACCTGCTCCTCTCCCCCTGCACACGCTCCAGCAAGGTAACCTGACTTAGCGCTGACAGGCTGGGAGGCACGGTGCTCTTCCTCTGCAAGAGAGACCCAGACGTGGCACAGCGTCACTTCTACCGAATTCTGTTGCCAAGGCTGTCAGAGGCCAGCCAGAGTCAAGGAGGGGATGTAAGCTTTACCTCTCAATGGGGGGGTTGGCCATCTATGACCTGTGGCCGAATATGACCGGCCTCATGTATTTACACACGCTCAACACATCACAGGCACATGTACGTGCTCTCACACACATGCACTCACACACTCGCACGCACACCCACTTGCGTACTCATACATGTGCATGCTCACACACACAAACCCATACCCTCACACATGCACACACGTGTACTCACACATGTGCACGCTCTCATGCACACGCACTCACGCACTCATACCTGTGCGTGCTCTCACACACTTGCACATGCTCGCATGCACACACTCACGCATGTGCATGCTCTCACACACGCACACACACTCGCACATGCACGCATGCACACTCACTCATGTGCACTCATACCTGTGTGTGCTCTCACACACACGCACTCGTACCCTCGCACGTCCACGCATGCACACACACATGACTACTCACACGTGTGCATGCTCTCACGCACATGGTGCCCACCCCTGGGGAGGAGGCCCAACCCCTGCTCACCCACCCCTCATGCTGGGCTGAGGCACCTCTTCTGAGTGAGATGCCCCGCATCACGAGGGCTACTGCTCAAGAGTGTCTGGACGCACAGGGCAGCCGGCCCTGGCCCTGGAGCCCACCCCAGCCCACAGGGCATGTCCTACTGGTGGGGAGGAGGAGCCTGTCCCAGCTCTGCCTCCCACTGTCCACACCACCAGGCTGCACTGCCCCCATCTTCCAGGGGATTCTGGGCAGGCTACCTTCCGGAACATCATGGTTCAGAAAAGGCAGGTAATATGGAGCCGCTCTGCAAGCAAGGATGGTGGGCCCCTTGGCTACGTCCAGGCCTAGTCCCCTGCCTGCCTCAGGAGTCACAGTCCAGGGAGACTTGACCACACACAGACAGCGCAGGGGCCCAGGACAGGGCACTCAGGTGGAAAGGCCCCCGGCCCTGGTAGCACCCAGCCTGTGGATGTCAAGGGACGGTCGAGTGGGTTTGGGGGAGCAGACCCCCTGCTGGCAGCACCAGGTGCACCCACCAGGGACAGGTGATGGCACATTGACCCCAGCAGCTGCCCTTTCTCCTCTAGTCACCCAGACTCTGCGGAGCGCGGCCTTGGAGGACTGTGCCCTGTGCCAGGAGACTCTGTCATCTTCTGAACTCGCGGCCAAGACCCGCGACGGTGACTTGGAAGGTGCGTGGGGAGCTCTGGGCCAGGATGTGCTGCATGCTGAGCATAGAGCAGCAGGACCCTGTCTGGACATTTCCCCCTCTCTGCCCTGGACGGCAGGAAGGCAGCGCTCCTCCAGCTGGGGGCCCCACCCCAGAGGCTGTCTGGGTGCATAGCTTCCCATGGGAGGCAGCCTCCCACTCCAGTATCCCCTCCTCAGTTCCCAGCGTGGTCACACAGGCCCCCTTAGCTGCGACAGCATGACCTCAGGCCGGTTATTTAACGTCTCTTAGCCTGGGGGCACAAGGTAAGGGCATGAGGAGCAAGGAGCTGCCGATCTCCAGGCCTTTGGCTGTGGCTGGGGTGGCTTGTCCCGGGGCACTGGCACATACCTACCCCCCAGCATTCACCTGCGCCGCAGGAAAGGCCTCACATGGTGGTGTCCAGGGAGCTGCCTGCCGGAGTCACAGGGAGCCTTCCTCACAGGGGCACTGCAGACCCTGCTGCCCCATTAGCCTGGATGTTGGCTGGCTGGAGGCCCAGAAGCTTGGTGGTCAGAGAGGGAGTATCCAGGCGGGTTGGGGGCACTGGCAGCACATCTGTGGGGAGGGGGAAGCCCAAGGCCTTCAGAAGGGGCTGGAGGCCTGAGAGACGTGCTGAGATGGGTGATAGCAGATAGGCCTGACGAGGTGTGGAATGTGACCAGAGCAGAGAAGGCGACTGAAGTTGACCCCATGATAGGCCAGAGGTCACACCACTCCCAGTGTGCATGGCTGGCTGGGCTGGCCCCTACTGGTCCCCAGTTCAAGGCCTACCTTGGTGCTGCCCGGTGACTGGGGCACACACTGAGGCCACCTTCACCACTATCCCCTGGGGGTGACAGAGGCTGGGGAGGGGTCAGGAGCAGCACAGGCTCCCAGTTTCCTAAGCACCCTGAGCCTCAGTCTTCTCTACCTTTCTGTGAAAGCACCTGTCACAGGAACTCGGAACCCCTCTGCTCTCAAAGGAATGAATGTCATGCACTGCGAGGTCCCGACTTGCCCAGCGCACAGCCAGGGGCCGCGACCTCCTCATGGGCTGCCAACCCAACCCCCTCCTGGAAGTTGTCCCCCATGGCAGGGCCTGGGCTCTGGTCAGAGGAGGGGGTGCCAGGCTCAGGAAGTCCTCAGGACCCTCACAGTCCTCCCCAGGCGAGGGTCTGACCTTGTGTGTCGGGGTCGGAGCCCGACTGGCCCAGCCTCCGGCGGCTGCCACTGCTGTCCAGGGCTGCCCTGGGGCCAGTGCGGGATTTTACATGTGGGTGTTAAGCATGTGAGACGATCTTCCTGCGGTGTGGAGTGAGTTGATGGGGTCCAGAGCGGAAGCCAGGAGAGCTGGGTGGGAGGCAGTTGTGGGGTCCACGCAGGCAGGAGAAGGAGCAGATCTTTGGGAGTATGGTAGTGAGGAGGAGGGAGAGAAGGAGGCGTGGAGACCCTGGGTCTCCCGTGGACAGGTGGCCTTGCCGAGTTCCACTTGTAGGCACCGAGAGTGAGCCCTGGGGGCGCAGGGCTAGGGGTCAGGTCTGGGGGTCATATGAGGGTGGACCGGAGACCTCTGATCACCTCTGTGACCCGAGGGAGAGATCCTAGGTGTCTGTTTCCCCCTCTGAGTGTCAGTCCTGGCCTCAGCGCCGGGCACATGGTGGGCACCTCGGTGCCCAGGGCGGGAGGAAGGTGCCCATCTCACCCTGCAAGCCAGCTTCTCCCTGTGCTGATGTACCTCCTGAACTCCAGAGCAAACTCGCCAGAGGCTTCCACCAGCAACTGCCTTGAGAAGTGAGATAGGACCGGCCCCACGGCCCCTGTGGAAGGAGGAGGTGGCCCCTGGCCCCGGCCTGGGCTGCACAGGTGTTGGGAGGAGCAGAGCCATCTACTTGGGCCCCCAGGGCCCCCCGAGAACCTGAGAACTGCTCAGGGGGTGGTTTCTTCACTTCTCAGGCCCCAACTACACCAAAGGGCCCTGCAGGCTGAGTGCTGGCAGGGGAGGCTTGGGAGGGGGTGGACGCTCCCTGCCCATGTCCTGAGTGCAGGTGGCCTGGCCTGGGGCAAGGCACAGGTTGCACCTGGGGTCTGATCGACGGGCATTGACGATAGCTGCGAAGACTGACCTGTCCCTGTGATGCCGTCACCTTCCTGGAACCACAGCCTGGAAACAGAGTCTGGGGGAGGACTGGAGAGGAGAGTGGGGGCTGCCAGGGCCACCTGACCAAAGGCTCCTGCACACCTGCGGCCTCCGACCCCGACCCCAGCCCACCTGCCCCCACTGTCGATGCTGCATGGCTCCCTCTGGCTGACGCATCCCTCACTCTCATTGTCACAGACCCGCCCGAGTGGGTCCCAGACGAGGCCTGCGGCTTCTGTACCGCGTGCAAAGCGCCCTTCACCGTCATCCGCCGGAAGCACCACTGCCGCAGCTGCGGGAAGGTAGGTGGGACATGGCGGCTGCAGGCGTCCCAGGGGCCATCCACAGACACAGCGCAAGGGTCTGGAAGTCAGGAGCGATGCCCCAAGAGACTGGTGAGGCCTTTGGGGTCCTTGTGCAGAGAGGCCTCTGAGCCCTAGGCCCTGCTCTGACTTGGCACAGAGCATGGACTCTGGGCCCTGGGCCCACTGGGTCCCGATGGTGCCGTGCTCAGCCCCAGCTGCTTCAGAGCTGGGGGTAAGGAGGGGACAGAGCTGGGGGAGAGCAGCCTTGGTGCCAGGACCCCCTCCACAAGCCTGGCCTCCTGGGACCAAGATCTGCCCCAGGTTTTCCTGAAGGTCCCAGCCCCACAAAGGGGCCGCAGTCCCCTGACCAGACCAGGGCCCAGCCTGGTCTGGGTGGGAGATATGTGCGGGAAGGCCAGGGGGTGCTCAGGGCTCTGACACTGTCCTCACTGGCCATCCCTATGGGGGCCAAGGTCAGAGAGTGAGACAGGCAGGGCTATCAGAGATCCCCTCCTCGGCTCACTGTCCCCACTGCCTCCCCCGCGTTCCAGATCTTCTGCTCCCGTTGCTCCTCGCACTCGGCGCCGCTGCCCCGCTACGGGCAGGTGAAGCCGGTCCGCGTGTGCACGCACTGCTACATGTTCCACGTCACACCCTTCTACAGTGACAAGGCGGGCATCTGACACAGTGCCCGGGCACTCCCCAAACGCGCCAGGGCCCGTGGACTCCCAGGAAGGAGGCGCCGGGGGCCGTTCTCCCTGCCTCCTCCATCCAGGCCGCTGGCTACTGGAGAGTTCTCACTGCATTTCATCAAGCTGCTGCCGCCGCCAACGCAGGGGCTGCAGGCCGCCCAGACTTCCAGAACGTCCAGCGCCTCCGTCCCACCCACCCGGCCTCCCCACCTGTGGGGACCCCAGGCCAGCCTTAGGGGCAGCAGGAGGTCAGCTTTGCCCAGGGGAGTACCCAGGGGTGCCAGGTGGCTGCCTGGACAAGGGTGGGCTCTCTTCCTGCCTGCCCCCCTGGCTCGCTGAGCTACTGCCTTGAGGCTCAGCCGTGGCAGAAGGCCTGCTCAGCGCCCGCTCTTGACAGGGGAAGTGGGGTGGTTATCTGAGCTCCAGGCAGCCTCAGCACCTGGGACTAAACCCGGGGCAGATGGTGGACACCTAGGGAAGAGGGGCCAGGCCTCAGCGTAGGGTACCGCAGGGCTTCCTGCATGCTTGCCGAGCCAGAAAGACCAGGCAGCATTCTCTCTGCAGGGCCCTGAGCCCACAGCTGCCCACATTCCCCAGTGCCGCCCCCTCCCCACTCCCCTCAGGACCTCGGCTAAACAGAAGGCATCTCATTTCTTCTCAGAGGGAAAATGCAGGAGCAGACCCAGTGGTCCGCTGGGCAAGCTGGCGTGCCCCTGCTGTTATCTGCCCACCACTGGCCACCTGCTGATGGGAGGGGCAGGCGGCTGCCCACACAGCACTGAGACCCACAGGCAGAGGTTTCCTGGGTCCTTAGGCCAGGGCTCCCCAGGCAGCGGAGGACCACCGGACATCACCCACTTGGCTGCCAATACCCCCTTCCCTTTGCACCCCCTGGGACCCCAGCCCACCTTTGCAGACCCCGGAGCAGCCTAGGACCCAGGCTGAGGGCCCCAGCACGGACACCTCCTCAGGCTTAAATCTCAGGCTTCACATTGCAATGACGATGCAGTTTTATTTTTAGAGAGATGACACACCTACTGCTTCTTTTATAGGATAAAACCCAATTACTATTTAACAGTGAAATACATATGCACAAAAACGGCTTCTGTGGGGGGAAAAGTATATAATGGAGAGAATATTATGTATTGAGATTATTTTTATTTTCTAAATGTTATAATTTGAAACCATTTCCATAAATCTATTTAAGAATTGCAGACGTTCTTGTTTCTTATGTGGACACGGGCTCCTTTTCCTCTGTCTGGGAAGCAATGATGTTCTTGCAAACCTGCATTCTCCCCTAGGAAGCTGGGGGCTTCTGAACTCTTGGGACAATTGAAGAGCAGGACTTGGTCTTCCACCAGCCCCCAGGAGATGTGTGGCCACCTCCCACCCCATCCCACTCCCTGCAAGGGTTTCAGTCTCCCTGATGCCTGACCATCTGCCCAGCCCCTCGTTTCATGTGTCCTCAGCTCAGACTCCTGGCCTGTGTGTGTTCAGTGGGGTGTGCTCTTGGACATCCCACCTTGGGGCCCTCCCCACCTTGGTGGTCCTGGTCCTGTGCCACCCACCCACCTGGGGGCTGCCTTCGGGAGTGCCCTGGAGAGAATGCTGGAGGGCAGGTCTTGTGCTGGGGTTGCCATGGTGCTGGGCCTTCCTCTGCTCTTGGAGGCTGAGCCCTTGGGACTTGGGTGCCCAGTCCCTCGGAGGTGGGTGCTGGGAGTCCAGAGAATGGGGGCATGGCTGCAAGAGGCCCCAGTGGCGGCCATACTCACTTTCTTTCTGGTAGGTGAGAAAGTGTTTCAGAAGGTGGGGGCTCCCTCTGAGCAGCCCTGAGTCCTTCAGGAGCAGAGGATAAGGGGCATCCAGGGGGACCTGGTGTCTGTGGCTGCCCAAGGCTGGGCTCCATCCCCCAGCCCATCTGGACAGAGCTCCTCCCACCACTGTGGATGGCTGCAGCCTATGTCACTGGCTTGACAGCAGCACCTTCTGGAATGTCAGCTGTCTGGGGGAGGCCAACCCCTACTACCACCAACTAGGAAGTCAGCCCCCTGCAGGAGAAGCCCCCATGAAGCTATACTGTGGGATCCGCCTTCCTCTCCTCACAGGCACCCACAGTTGTCACCTTCCAGACTTGAGAGGTGGTGGCCCTCCTCGTCCACCAAGTCGGGGTGGGAGAGGGAGTGGAGACCTAGGAAACAGAATCTGCCCATTCTCAGCACAGACAGAGCCACCCTCCAGAGGAGGTATCTTGGGCCTCAGGGAGACAGGGGGAGCTCTGGTGTGGCCTGGTCCCGAGAAGCCCTCCAAGCCAGCCTTAGCCTGCCTTTGTGCAGTGGGTGGGGGTGGCAGCCCTGCCCCGAGCTGCAATGCAGGAAGGCCTGGGGCCACGGGAGCCCCCAACAAGGATGACCAGCTGTCCCATTTGACAAGGAATGAGATTTCCTGAGTTATGGGACTGTCCATGCTAAACCGGGGACGTGTGGTCACTCTGTCGTTCTACAGGGCTATCCCCGCCCCAAGGGCAGAGCCAGGACCTAGGGGTGAGGAGGGGTTAGTTGAAGGCAGAGATTCCCGCTGAGGAAGGAGCTAGAAGGAATGGGCTGCTGCACACCCACAGCAGGGGCTCTGGAGTGGGAGACCCTGGAGTTGGGGCAGGGAGAGGGCCAAGAGCTCCAGATTTGGAATCAGCCCTTGCAAGCCAGCCTTGGACCCAGAGCAGGTCAGCCTTCCTGAGTCTCAGTTTCCCCATTGTCACCATCATCGCCATCCTTCCTGCTACTATTTTCTGAGCGTTGTCCCTCTACTCTCCACGACAATCCTTCAAGGGAGCAGGATCCCCATGTCATAGATGGGGAAACTGAGGCTCGTGGAGGTTAGTAGGTGACACAGCCAGGTTGTGGGCTTTTAGGAGGGTCACACAAGAGGCAGAAGCAGAGTGCCCTGTGACGTGAGGAGCACTGAGAAGCACTGGCCCCGGCTGCCTGTGCCTGGAGGACCACTGCTGGGGAAGGCAGCACTGGAGACAGAAGCTCCTCCAGCCTCAGAGTGTCAGTACTTCCCCATCTGGCAGCTGGAGGAAGACTAGGGGGCTGCCAGGAGCCGGGCACACCTGGGTCTCAACTGCCCGCCTCACCACTCTCTCTGGGCTATGCAGAGGCCTTGGGGGAGGCTGTCATGATCTCCAACACCCCCAAGCTTCTGGTAACAGGTGGGGCCCCTAGGCCTGGCTGGGCCCCCCACAGGCACTCAGGACCCAGAAGCAGCCTGCAGCCCCCAACAGGGCGGGCCACCAAGTCAAAGGATGGAGGGCCTGGGGCGGAGCTCTCTGTATCCAAGGGACCTAGGAGGCTCTGGGCAGAGACAGCCACCCTGCCTGACCTCTAGGAGGTGGCACTGGGGTGGGGAGAGGGGAAGGCCCACCTAGGGGGCTCCCTCCCACTGCAGGCTCAGCTCAGTCCAGAGGCCCCCCCCACCCACGTCCACACACCCTGGCCTTTGGAGGTGCCCCTGCTGCCTACCCCCACTTGTGGCTCATCTGTCCCCACAAACATTCTAGGGTACAGCTGGCCTTCCCTCAGACTGGTCCATCTCCCCCAGAGACCCCAGGCCAGCAGCCCCCCACACCAGCTAGCTGCATGACCCTGGGACAGGGTGGGCAGCGCATGAGAGGAGAAAGACTGTTAGTGTCATGTTGCTGATGAAGGGGATGGGACAATATCACCCGAAGAGGCCAAGCGGGAGGGGCAGGGTTGGGGGACGCTCCCCCTTCCCTCCTGTGGCCCAGGCCTGGGCTCCCTCCAGGGTCCCTGATGCAGCCCCTAATCACCACCAGGGGGCGTCCCGTCCTGCTACCTCCTCTTTCGCCTGGCCAGGGTCCTGTCTGAGTTGAGGGCAGCTGCAGCGCTGCCAGCAGGGGTCGCCCTCCAGGTCAGGTGGGGGCCCCCAGTGCAGCCACATGCAGTGGCCAGGGCCTAGTCCTCGGGGTCCTGCAGTGGTTGGAGGGACAGATCCCAAGAGAGGATTCTGGCCTGGTAAGGACCACAGGCAGGGCAGACCGCTCTCCAAACGGCTCGGCTCGGGGAGCGGGGAAGAGGGGTCCCTTTCGGAGACGGACACTGCAGACCACAGGGCTGGGGGTGGGGGCTGACAGCACCATGGAGGGAACGGCTTCCCAGCCATTCTTGGCTCTTCCTGTTCTCCGGACTCTGCAGTGGGAGCTGGGGGGAGGCAGGCAAGACCCAAAGTGCCCACCCCATACCCCGGCATGACCCAGAGTCTTGGAGGTGCTTGTGTCCTCCCAGGCCCACCCAGAGCCACCTCCTCCAGGCAGCCTTCCCAGACAGTGGCGCCCCCCAGCCCCCAGCCTCACATGTTTTCAGAGCAGAGCCTGGGGTCCTTTTGCAGGAGTCAGGGAACCTCACAGAGCCTCTCCTCCTCTGAGACTGAGGGCGCGGATTCCAGGCCGGCGGGGAGCAGTTGCTGGAAGGTAATCTCGCCCCAAAGACTTAAACACACAAGCGGCTCTGGGTCCTGCTGCTGTGCGCATTTGCCCCCAAATGGTCGGGGCACCTTAGGGCTGGAGCCTGCACTTGAGCGGGGCAAAGATGGGCACCCAGACACCCCAGGCCTCTCCTGCCCTTGGGGGTCTGCAGGTCTGGGGGCCATACGAGCTGGCTGAGCAGGCTGGGCCTTGAGGGGTGAGCAAGATCTCTGTGGAGATGGGGGCCAGAGCTACAGAGGCACAGAACAGCCTGGAGAGTTTGAGAAATGGTGACACTCCTGGTGAGGCTGGAGCACAGATGGGGAACAGGCTGGGTCACCCCTGGTGCCAAATGCTGGGCTTTCTCCTGAGGGCACTGGGGAGCCATGGAAGTGTTCTGAGCAGGGGAGGACATGGTCAGATTTGGGGTTTGGAGACCTTGCAGGGAGGATGGGTTGGTGGGGCAGAGGCCAAGGACCCCACTGCCGGGACCTGAGCTCCATCAGAGGCAGTAACATAGCTTAGCCACAGTCACCGCTCTGACCTTGCTGTCCCCCCGACCTCCATCACTCAGGACCCTGCTGAGCGTGTGGGCTGTGATCTGAGAGGCCGCTGCACCCTCAGAGAGAGGCAGCTTGGGCCACACTTGCCAGAGCCCAACCTGCTGCCCTCTGGGTCTAGAAGCAGCTGGATGACCTGGGGCCCAGGGGTGGGGGCTTGGGGGGTGGGTTTCCTGGGCTCCAGCCCTCAGGGCATCCAGCCTGAGACTAGGAGGCCTCTACTCAGGACCACGTGTAGCAGCCAGGCATGGGCCCTCAAGGCTTCCAAGAGAAGGGTGGGGAAGCAGGCCGGGAAGGCCCAGGCCAGAGGACCCTAGACGGCAGGACTGGGAGAGGGGTGTTCGGGTGAACCTCAAGGCCCCTATTGTTCACAGGGAGGAGACCTGCCCATCTACTCTGGATTCATCCTCCTCTGCCTTAGAGAAGAAAGGGCCCACAGCCATTAGGGGCCCTGGAGCAGCAGCAGGGCCAAGCTGGGTCCCCTGGCCTGCCCACCTGAGCCTGGGCCTGGCCCCTGGGAATGGAGGAGGGCCCTGGCCCTGAGCTGTCAGAGGTCCTGCCCTCTGGCTTTGGAGGCCACACGTGACAGCACAGCAAATGCATGAATCTGCACCACACCCCTCATTCATAACTTTTTGTCCTGTAAAAAATTTTTAAAAGAAAATTTAATTGTTTTGCTTTTGGACATTTCTGGCTATAAGAAATTCATTTAATTTACAATTATCTGAATTTTCCAGGGGTCATTGAGTATAGTGGGAAAATTTTGTAAAGTGAGAAAAAAATCTGTCCTACAAATTGTTCACAAATATAATGATCTGTTTTCTTATTATTTTTTTTTAAGATCAGCCCTGAGCTAACATCCATGTCAACCCTCCTCTTTTTTTTTTTTTTTTTTGCTGAGGAAGACTGGCCCTGAGCTAACATCTATTGCCAATCCTCCTCTTTTTTTTCCCTTACTGGCCAACCCCGGGCCGCCACTAGCAGAGCGCGCGCACTTAACTGCTAAGCCACGGGTCCGGCCCCGTTTTCTTATTTTAAATTTAAAAATAACATTGACATTATGTTAGGTTATGCAGACATTTAATTACATCTTCATGCATCTTGGTTTTGCTGTCTTGTTACTGTGTTCTGGAGGTAATTTTTTCCTGACTGGTAAACTTTGAAGGCCCCCAAATGCTCCGAGGCCTGGCCTGGTACCCGTGGCTGGCTACCTTGGGCAGCTACCACGGCACCCTAGGTTTGATCGTGACTGGGCAGGCCCTGCCCCATTCCCTGTGTGTAGGGCCAAGGATTAATATTCCTGCCACTTCCTGGGCATCCCTTTGTGCCCAGCCCACTGCTGCCCGGGGCTTTCCATGCATCCTTCATTGTACCCCACAACCACCCCAGAGGTAGGTACTGTAAATTCCCTTTTGTAGCTGGGGAAACCAGCTAAGAGATTAAGTGACTTGGCCAAGGTCTTGTGGCTAGACTAGAATCTAGGGCAGCTTTGAGGGAGGGACCCAGTGACAGAAGCCCCCCAGGATCTCCCCGGGTCCTGGACACACCAGCCATCTTGGTGCAGGGGAGCCAACACTTCTAGGAGGCTGGTCGCAATGCTGGGCTAGGAGTGGCCCTCCAGCGCCTGATGACCCCGGGCCAGGCTCTGTCCCTAGGCTCCCCAGACCCAGACCCTGCCTGCAGGGAGCTGTGTAAACCTGCCACCCCCCCAGGGTCTGAGGAGATGCAGGCTGCAGGAGGATTCCAGCCGACCCAAGTGGGCAGGGCAGCCCCTCGGTCTCAGCCTCCTGCCCAGAGTGCTGGGCTGGGGACCTGGGTGGCAGCGGGGAGTCCACCCCAGTGACTGAGGAGGCAAGAGAGGAGGTGGGGCCAGGGCCGGTCATCCTGGAAGCGTGAGAAGGAGGCTCTGGAGGAGGAAGGGCCTCTCAGACCTTCCCACCTGGGTGGGGGTGCTTCCTAATGCTGTGCTGAGAGCCAGAGACATGTTCCCAAATCAGTATATCTGGCGGTGATAGGGATCCTGGGTCCAGAGAAAGGGAACCAGGGCCTGGTGAGTGTGGGGGAGACCAGGAATCAGTCTTCTAGAGGTTTCTTTCCCTCAGGTCTCCTTAGGGCCTTGAATACCCTCACAGGATCCCGGGGGTGGGGAATAAACCAGTCTTTCCCAAGCTTTGGGACCAGAAATCCTCATGCCATACTCCAAATGCCCCCAGAGATGAGGTGGGTCCTACCATTCTCATTTGTAGCTAGGGGAGTGAAGCTGGGGTGGGGATGGGGGGGAATCCCACGAAGCCCAGGCAGACCTGTACTTCCACCCAAATTGGGAAGTTCCTTCTAGATTCACGCCTGCCCCTCTTCCCAGAGCCCCTAGCTGGGAGCTCTGGGGTGGGCTGGGCTCCCTCAAAGGGCAGTGAGGGAGAACAATCCAGGAGGATGGGCAGCGAGGGGAATGTGGGCTGGTCCAGGAGGAATGCATGGTAGAGGGCCCAAGGCGGCATAGGTGTGTGGGAAAGGGTTCAGGAGTAGGAGCAGGGGAGGTCCACAGCCCCCTCTTGGGCTCTAAATGGAGATAAGGGTAGGCTGCCTGGGCTCCCAGAGGGAGGAGGCCTGAGATGTCTGCCTCTTCCCTTCTGGGCATGGACCTTGCTGGTTGCCGCTCTGACGGGTCCCTGCACTGGAGAAGGGGCAGGAAGGGCTGGGCAGGTGTGGGAGAGGGGGGTAGATGAGGAGGCAGCTGGCCTACCCTGGGCTCAGGGAAGGCTCCCTGGAGGAGGTGATACAGCCCCACCAGAGACCTGACCTACAGAAGTGGGTCTAGGGGTGGCACCGTGCCAGCATCCTCAGGCTCTGGACCAGCCAGTCCAGACCCAGGGGGCATCAGGCCCCAGGACCACTGTAGTGCCTATGCACCCATCTGGGGTGGCATGGTGAGGCCCGTGGGTGTGCAGACTTGGCTGGCCCCAAGAGACACCAACACCCACCCCCCTTACGGCCTTCCCCGCTAGCTCCCCTAACTCATGGCTTAGCGTCCTCCGGGATCTCCCCTGGGGGCTCTGCCCCTGCCTGCCCGCCAACAGGCCCAGAAAAAGGTCGGCTTGAGAACCCGCCCCACCCCGCCTGCCGCTCCCTCTCTCCTCTCCTCTCCCCGCCACCCCCCACGCCATCCGGCCCACGCGGCGCCTATCTGTGTCCGCGCCAGACCCCGCCCTCCTGCCAGCCCCTCGCTCACGCCGTCGACCCGGCCCACCACACTCACAGGCAGTGTGGAGACCCGCGGGCACCGGAGCATCTGGGTGTGGCTGGGGGAGGGGTCCCCAAAATGCCGTAGATGTAGATGGAGGTAGGGTGGGGGACCAGCCCGTCTCCTCTCAGGCTGGTAGGCAGCACGCTCGGGGCTCCCGCAGTCACACCTGGGCACCTGCACCACCTGCTGTGGCACAGAGTGCACCTCATGCCCCATGGCAGGAAGGAAGGTGGGCATCTGGCAGGTGCCCACTAGGCAAGGTGTCGGCTGGCTTTAGGATTGGGGCCAGCAGTCCACCCCTCACGTAAGCAGGGATGGAGTAACCCTGCAAAATGCTGATCCCCTGATGGTGAGCCTGGGATCCTGCCTCCCATAGCCCAGAATGCACCCGGCCCTCCTCAGAGCTGGGCACCTGCTTTTACCCTGCACAGCTCTGTGCAGCCTTCCAGACTAACCTGGAGGGCCACAGCACCCAGCTCTTGTTACAGGCTCTGCCCTGGCCCTGGGGTGACTGTGGGGCAGGAGCAGGAATATTCCTAAATCCATTGCTCAGATCACAGAAGTCATGTTGGGCCAGGAGATGGCTTGGTCTCCACGCTCCTGTGTCACCAGCCCTGGGTCGTGTGTATGGGTGCACTAATCTCCATTCCGCTAGGATTTCCGGGAGACCCTGGTGAATCCCTAAACCTCAGGATTCCCAGTTTCCTTTTCTGTAAATTGGGGATGCGGAAACACACGAGGAAATACATATAAAGCTTCCAATAGGTCCTAGGACTGAAAGTGCTGAGGTTTTTATAGTTCTTGTTCTGTTTTGTTGGCAGCAGCAGTGACCCCCGCCCCCTTCAGAATTTCTGTCGGGGGTCCAGCCACCCTATCTCCCACACTCTCCAGCCTGCTGGTCCCCTCCTCAGGAGCTCCCAGGCTACCTGTCTCAACAACCAGTGAAAGGGAAGATCAAGGGGGACTGAGGCCAGTCTGGGGCTTCCCCCAGGCTGCCAGTCCCTGCTCCTACGGGGCCAGCTTAGGGTCAGGAGTCACTAGGGCCACCCGCCAGCTTGATGAGGAGCTCTCTCCCCCTCATGGAGGCAACTCTCTTCCCTAGAAAGCACTTCCTTGGCCAGCGCCTGTCCCACCCTTCAGACCAGACACGAGCACGCAGCCCCCAACTCATGGGAGCCCCTCCCGACCGTGGCGACAGACCTTTGACCCCCTTCTCTAGGCCGAGGGCTCCTCCTTCGGCCCTGGGGTCCACCGCAGCTCTGAGGGACCCCTCCCTCTCTGGGCCTGTTTTCTCATTGAGATCCTCAAGGAGACCTGGTTCTTAGGCTCAGACCGTCCAGCCCCCTCCTCCAAGCCCCGGCCTTTCCTGGGGTCACTGTGGGTCCGGCAGGGAGGGTGTCGTTTTGCAGCCCCACGCGAGACCCCGAGGAAACCGCGAGGCCCGGTGTTCCCGCGGAGCCAGTGTTGCATAGGGACCGGGGGCCACAGGTTCCTGCGCACACTGTGCAGCCCAAGCAAACCGCGGGGCGCACGAGACGCTCCCCGCGCCCTAACCGGCCCCGGCGAGGGCGACGGGCAGTGCCCCCGCGCTCGCTTCCTCTCGGCAACGCGTCCAGCCGCTGCGCCCTCATTGGCCGCGCGCCCCGCTACCGGCCATTGGTCCGCAGGCCCTATTTTACATAGACCGTTCTGGGCCAATCGGCGCCCGGCGCCTACTTAACATGCACGCCGGCCGCCAGTCAGCGCGCGCGGGGGCCGGGCCACCACGTGCTGTTGCTAAGCTTGGGCTTCTAAATTGTTACTACAGCGGCGGCCTATCGGAACCGAGCTTAGCATCTGTCAACATTCTCGGCCAGGCCCGAGGCGTTCGGCCGGCTCCCATTGGCCCGGGTCCGCCCCAGCGCCCGCCCCCGGAGCCGCAACGCCGGCCCCCATTGGCTGCGCCGGCCGCCGCTCGCCCTTATGTGTCAATTTGAGGGCCCGAGGCGGAGGGTGGCGGCCCAGCGCTCAGCGAGTCCGCGGGAGTCGGGGAAGTGGGGCCGCCGGGTGCGCGGGGCGGGC